GCTATACAGTATCTCATTCTTCCAGCGAAGAAAAACTTTTGTATGACTTCATTGAGATTATGTGTAAAATTATTACAAGGGTACACAAACAGGCGGTTTTTGTGATCACGTTGGTACAACCGGAAAAAGTGATTACTGTGGAATATTGCGGTTAAGCAGGAAGGTGTGAACGATAAAAGAATAAGAAGGCACAAAAGCAGAAGAAACCTCAGTGGAAATATTTTTAATGGGAAGGTTAGAAATATCATTTTAAGAAGCGTAGCGAAGTTAATCCCGAAATGAATCCCAATCAGCATGTTGGTAATAAAAATAAGTCTTGTGAATAGGGAGCTCATGTCTAATAGTCAGTTATGTGCTATGCGTGATACACGCTTGGGCAATCATGTATCTTTCGATACATGACCAAATGACAGATTTTTTTCCCGCAGTAGGTTGCCATTTCTTTCTGCGGTAGACCAGTTGCCATCCAAAGTTATAGAACCCAGTGTGTCTTGCTATTTAACCATAGTTGGGGGAGAAGAAGAGGATTCATACATTTCCCAAGTCTATTAGCACGTAACTGAATGCAATGGATTCGGTTGGAATTCGAACTCGGCTCTCCGATTCCTCAATCCGAGCCGCTATCCATTACTCCACCGTGCCTCCCCACGAGTTAAAAAAAATGTCAACAGATTCTACAGTGTGATCCGAATTGCAGAGGTCAGAGTTGTGATGCTCGACAAGAGCCAGAAGAGGAGGCAAGGAAAGTAATGAAGCTTGTTGATGAGAATTATTAGGGAGATGATTAAGGAAATATACTATTTGACTGAGATATTTATATTAATATTGATATTAACTCTAATGAGTTGTATTAATTCTAACGATTTGCGTAATAACAGGCTGCAAACATAGAAAAAAAATTGCAAGAATTTCTAAGGAAGGCAGTAAAGGAAAGCGATAAGAAAGGACTAACTACCAATTGGAAGTCAACAGAATGTATGGTCGTTACCAAGACGAACAATCCATGGTATGAACTGGAGATATCAAATTCAAACAAATAAGGTAGTTAAAATATCTGTTATGTGTTTTAACAGAAAATGTGACCCGAAAGCGCATTGGAATATCGAAATATGCCTTCTAAAAGCCAAACATCATAATAAGAAATATGGAAATTTTACTAGAAACAAAAAAGAGTACTCACTTGCAATGTAATATCAATAATATTATATCGTGATGAATGTTTGACAATTTTTTACAAACAAAGAAGAGACAAGATAACAGAGATATAGTCCTGCAGAAGGATCATGAGAATACCGTGGACGGATCATGTGAGCAAAAGTGTTAAGGAAAACGAAAAGGATAATTTTAGTTAGAATCATAAAGAGATAGTTGAAATTACTTGGACACATAATGAGAAAAGAATGCTTGTAGAATTTGACACTAATAGGACATATTGAAAATAAGTGGGACAGAAGGAGACAGCGGATGATCTACCCAACAAGCTTATGTAAATAGATGGCAGAACAGGAAGTGGGAGAGATAGAAAAAAAATGATTTTGTTCGGAGCTACAAAGAGCAGGGAATTATGGAGAATATTCTAATATAATATTTTGGTGTTATCTAGTTTCGTTCTGCGCATGTCTAAAATGGCATCCATCGTCAGTACTGCGCCATTTTTTTTCAGTTTTTTTAACAACTTTGTCGTCATTTTTGTAATCATGAATTACTCCTTTCCCAAGCCAAGGTACATGAATACAAAAATGTTAAAAAAGTGAAAGAAAAGGGTTAAATCTTTAACCTCATTTTATTCAAAATTTAAATTAATCCAAAACAAAAATAATTTAAATACTAATTTGCATTAAACCTTTTTTTTTCAAAACATCACTTAATCACTTTTGTTTATTAGGCATTGAATTATGTCACGTCGGGTCCTCCATAGCTTGCCTGACATTTCAGCTAACCTAATGAATATTTATGAGCGTTCCTCAACTTAAAAATATTGAAAAACCAATAACATTATGGCTCTTGTATATAGATACTTGTTGCAAAACAAAGTCCTTGCATTTCCATTGAAAAAAAGTTTTCCTTTTGTCTTTTATATATATATATATATATATATATATATATATATATATATATATATATATATATATATATCGTTTCGGTGGACTGATTTAAAATCCAACAGAAACCAACGTCTCTAATATGTTTTTTTTTTTTTATATGTGTTTTGGATATCATCATTCTTGGCAGATCTTTTATGATCACAATTAGTAAGATATGTCATGGAACCAAAAACAAAACAAAAAGAATCCAAATGAAATCAGCTATATTATATAAGTGAATCACATAAAAATATAAAATTTAAAATTCCCAACGTCTCTCTCTAGAAATGCGTCACACGAAAACTTTTTGCACTTTGTCATACTGCTTTCACACGCACACACACACACACACATATATATATATATATATATATAATATTATATGAACAGATTACTTAAATTTTAAATATAAATTT